AAACACAAACCAATGTGTAACAAATTGTTATATTTAGATATGCGCTGCAACCCACTATATGAACATTACAGGCAGAAATGCATTTCAATTGAGTATGAAAGCAATACCTCTCATGATATAACACGTGGTTTACTTATGACGTCATATATTAACCTTGTTCAAATAGAGTCTTGTCGCTTCGCTTCGATTAACATGGAGAATACCCCTGCGTCAAACGCTTAAATGACTACGATTAATTATTGGCGCCAATCTTTGTTAAATATGGCTGTTCCGCCAATGTCGTTTTAAAGGACGACGCATATACAACACACCGTATATAAATCATTTATTTAAAAACAATTAAATTAAATTAAACTATTTTTCTATAGTAAAGATGTAAACATATTGATTGAACGACGTTTTTTTTAACTTTTAATGCCGGTATGAACGCAAATCGGTTACATCCAAAATAAACATGTAGTATTGATGTAACCGTTTTGTGTTCATACTGGCATGAAAATTAAAAAAAACGCCGTTCAATCCATATATGTGAAATCAAAATCGACGAATCTGGGGCAGATATAGTCTAGTATATGTAAAACGAATACCTCATAAGCATCCTTCTCTTGAACATGGAAAAACATGATGTATATTCCAATTTCGTTAGGGGGGATAATTTTTCCATACAAGAACAAAATGTCTCATTCTTCGTTTCAAAAACATAATTTTTGAATGTTACGTTATATCAGACCAAACCAAAATAGATTTTAAAATCAGAAAAAAAGGAAAGTATAACTGATATCAAAACAAAAGATATGGCGGAAAACACATGGAAGAACCAAGTGGACGAATATAAAACCCTGCCAGCTCTTAAGGCAAAAACACTTAAATTGGAAATAGTGATTCCTCAAGGAGGAGCAAAACAATCAAAGGAAGCTAGATATATTTTGAAAAGATACAGAAGAAGGATGTAATTATTTACATTCAATGCCGTCCTTTCATCATACTTTTCCAGATCTTAATATACAGTTAAAACATTGATAGAGAATAAACAACAACATGTATAACAATGTCATTCCGTAATGAAGTACATGTATGATTTTCAGGTATAAGTGGAAAGGAATCCACGACCGAATTGGCTAACAATATTGGCAACGCTGACCCGAAGAAGATTTCGTTGATCAACGTAATCATACAGTACTCTGGGATTCATGTCCTTGAATTTGTGTTGTTGTACCATTGAAACAAACATTTCTGGCAAGAAGAGGATTTCCGAAGATGTATTTCATAATATTTATATTGTTTCTGTATCTAAAGTTTTATATAAGGTATTTTTTTCCTTATTTTCAATATACAAGCCATCTGTATTAATCTATATAAATCGCCAATGTGCGCGACGACGAGGAGGAGTTCACTGTTCTTTCCAGAACCTCGTATTATTATAGAGATACGTTTTGCTGATTTCAACTGAATAATTAATTCGTAATGTTGACTGGATCAATAATGAGGTAGTTACCGATAACACCAATACCCAGCATCCGTTATTGCAAATTTCATCGGACTAAACGCAAGTCTAAGATACACAGTCAAGGGGATTAATAAAATCCTTAACAACCAAGTTGTTTTTCTGCAACCAAAGTGTGATATTTTGATCAAATGTATACAAAAGACATATTTAAAAATGGAAATTAACCTAATATTATTACTATTTTTTTCCATGAACATATTAAGGATTTCCGATGCCACAAACATAAAAAGCTACAAAAGGAAAATGAGTGTAGCTATAGAGAAGTACATTGAATCGAAAACAAATTCCAAAACTGGAGTTGAAAATCTTGGGGAATGCGCCATGTTCTGCAAGGAAAATATATGTTTGTCTTTTGCGTACACCGACGCTGAAAAAAAGTGTGATACGTACTCAAGCATATTCCTGGTGGAGACTGGTATTGGGTTGACGTCTACGGCTTACTTTTCAGAACGTAAGTACACTTTTTATATTTATTTAGTAAATTTGATACTAAGATATAACGTTAGAAACTATCAGCTGCTTGACTCACATTTTGTTTTTGTTTGCATTATTTTATTTTATTTATGCTGTATTTTCTTGGAAGGGGAGTTCGCTGCCGAAGTATGTTTCATGTCAAATGTTGACAAATAATTTACTTTTGGAAGGTAACAATGAAGTAGATTAAGGTCTTGTAATGAGATATTAACGACGGTTTGGTAGTAAGACATCACGGAAAGGAGAGAAAGAGGGCAATTAAGCCATCAGCGGTAATTAATGGCAAAAGAATAAAGACGTTCGAGGATAAGATGGGACTCTATCAGCATAATAGCAATGATATAATTAATGTCAAGTAAGACCATAAGTATTACATCTGTGTTAATATTGATCCTGTCGTCATATCCAATAAGGGTTTTCGTAGATAGTAAACATTGCACAAAAGGAATGGTTAAATCCATTAGGTCAAGATGTTTCCGGAGCACGTAAGACAATAAACATTTCGTTGTCCACATCGTCAATGTTTATTAGTGATAAATAGGTGGCTAAATCGATTAAGTCACAACAAATATGGAACGACAGCATTACAGTCTTTAGCGGTTGATATGATTTTACAGTCATAAATTAGTCATGGTTATAAGCATGCTAAGAAAAACTTTAAGATAGTTTTACAGATTTGCATCAATGCCAGAATAGCCACAAATTAGCATCTTAGACGTAGCAAAGAGTTTTCAAATGTACAGTGATGTGAGTATTACTTTAGTTTTTCTATAGCATGCCCCATGTTGCTACATGTATTCTCTGTATTTGGAAACGGATGGGTGTAAAATATCATAACTAAAGGATGCAGCTTGATATCTTGCTACGTTCGCTGTCACTGATAATACCCAAATGGACGCACTGACCATTGCAATTAAATATTAATTTGTTTTGCCTTTTGCGTCGAAAATTAAATCATAAACGGATACCTCCTTACTTTGCATTTTTAGAGATATATTCAGTGAATATATTCAAATTAGACACAATAAGAATGATAGCAATTGCGTAGGTGAAGGTAATTTAGAGTAGGCAAACAAACCCACATTAAGGTTAGCATGCATGTGAGTCATATTAATCTAATATCAAGTTATACATGACCGTCATGTTAGTCTGTGGATGTAATCTGGTGTTAATAAAGTAGAGAATGACACACTGCAAACGAAAACAATGTACCATATCAATGATTGATATATGTTGTGAAGTAAGACATCATTGGATAGCAATGGAATTAATAAATGTAATTTAGTGTGAGAGGCTTTGGAGAGGTGACGAAAATAAGTGTATAGACTATAAGTAATTCTATGTCAGAGTAAATACAAAAGAAATCATCACAATTGAATAGCGTATTGGAATATACTTTTAAATGATACACAAAAGAAAGGATAGCGATGTCACAACGTATTGTAGTTCAAGGTTGATGATGAAAGAATTAAAATTAAAACAAAATTTGACAAGAATTGCAAATGAAGTATAAGTAATTACATGTAATAAAAAAAAACTATTTTTTGTCAATCAAGACACAAATAAAGAATCTTGTTTTAATCAGCCAAGAGGACGAGATATCATCGAAATGTTGATGACGAGAGGAAAGGGAAAGGATTTGAAAGACTAGCAATGAAATATATACTATTAATTCGTTGTCATGTCACACGTGGGCCTGTCAATAACTTATGTCACAACTTAGCTCCAGTACGAACGTATAATAGAATAGTGTTCACCATATCAGAATGCAAAAGCATTTTACGAGGATTTATCGTGCGCGAAATTTCTACAGCATCCGACAATAATCTCGAAAAAGTTATTGATAGTTCAATGATATGTACTTGTTTCAATGCTTAAATGACGGTGGGAACTAAATCTTAAATACAATACGAGTCCCAGTTTCATATATCTATTGTCCTATTAAATTTGCGCTGCTACGTTCTGGAGGTTAATACATTCAAATTATTATGACATTTTTTGGGAAAAGAGTTTTTTCGAAAGTTTTTTTCCAACAGCTGAAAAAAGGAGTTGAAGTACAGAGATAACTTATTTTAACTTAAACCGGGTGTCAGAAAGTCGTTTTCGTAGGAGCAACCATGGAAACGATAGCAACAACTTAGACAACCATATTGTGACGTTGTCCCTATGGTCCCTACGCGCGCTGACCTCTCACAACAACACACACACAGGTCTCGCCCACACTACCTGCACTCTATCTACTGATAGCTCAGACAACACCACTTGCATATTTACTGTACAATCTGTAGAACTTGTAATGTATGATACCTTCGATAGAGCGATCGTAATAAGTACAGGTGTACCAGTCTTATCCAGACATACACCAGCATTGAAAGCTCGCTCTCTAGTATACTTACAACTATCGAGGAAAGCTTCTATCCCCGTCTCGCTTCTGACTGAATGTACCCATATGCCCCGCCCTACCTGTCAATCACCCAGAGATTGTCTGCATCACCTATATGTGTTCAATGTGTTTTGACCAAGGTGAGGTCAAGGCCAGCTCTACTTAAGCGTGGAAATTACATCGCGAATGCACGGGAATACGGTGGTTTACAAAAACTCAGCTAGCTCGGTAGGTTTTCATCACAATATTAAAATTAGTGATGTTTAGTACGAATGACAATTGAGAAACTATTAAAATGACAGCAATGCAGTAGATAAATAATCCATATTCAATTATATTGATTACGGATGTCAATACAGAAACAAAGGATAGTATTGTAATACAAAAGATAAAGGTTAACTAAGTATACGTAAAAACATCATCGATTTAAAAATATATCAAATGAAGCGCATCGATATCACCGATGGTAAACACAGTTCAGGCTCATCATGCTACTGCATCAAATAGTAACTGTGGACCGGAAACTGTTTTACACTGCAGACAATAGCTTTGCCTTACCATTTCATAAAAGGACACCGTACCTTTTGGAAGTTTGATAAAAATCTTTGGTTATTATCTTATATCTTTTTTTTTTAGTTCTGAGATCCTGTTCAGATCTTGGATCGGATTCGCCTTCTGGAGTGTACCAACTCACCCTTACGTCTGGTGAGAGCTTCAAAGTGTACTGTGACATGAGAGCTGTCGACGGGCCATGGACAGTAAGAAATCGAATTTCTTATTTCTGTAAAGTTTTGTTATTAAGTTATTTTCTGTTTTGATCATTTCTTTTGGTTTGTTTGAAATATACGTGATGGACCAAAAACCGATCATTTTGGACTTCGAGAAAACGTCCTTAAATGACCTTAACTGTTAATAGGACATTAAACAAAATTAAACCAAACTTCGGGAAAGTTGAATACATTGTACGGCTTTGTGCGATACATGTTAGTGTGGAATAGTTGTCTGTATAAAATGATTACAGAGATTTACCTACGGGCAATAAATTAAAACCAAACATAAAACAGATATATTTTGAGTATACTACAAATTCTTCCTCTCTGATTAATGTAAATAAGGCATAATTATAAAAACCAATCTGTGTAAGGTTTACATAATATATTGGGCCTGGATAGATAGTGTGCCTCACATATTGCTACCTATTAAACACAAATACTATCATAACTTCCCATCCATTGAGATCATGGTTTAGAACCTGTTTTCGTGATATCTTTACTTTTGTCCTGATGTGATGACGCTATGAAATATTTTGTTCTAGCTATTTCACCGGAAAATGCACTTAAAATTAAGAAGGGATAATAATAAAAAAGATTATTATATCCCGTTCTTGTAGGTAATTCAGAATCGGTATGATGGCAGTGAGTATTTCTATAGAGAATGGGACGAGTACAAGAAAGGTTTTGGAGATCTGAACGGCGAATTTTGGATAGGTAAGCTATGCTTGTACATTACGTTTTACAAATATGCAAAGCATCATATTTATTGTATCGGTCGCAAAAGGCCTAAATTTCACATTGATTATATACCACTCTTTTTATCTGATGTACAGATTGATATACCAAACAACTCAGATAGATAGGACTGGCGTGCAGTAATTCATTCTCTGCTGTGTTTGTGTTGATAGGTAATGACATCATACATACCCTGACACAGACTGCCAGCGTTCTAAGAATAGAATTAGAAGGATTCCCGTACAAGAAAGGATTCGCTGAGTACTCCATGTTCAAGGTTACTGACGAGAGTGATGGCTACAAAATGACTCTTACCGCATCTACCAGAAACGTTTCGCGTGAGTAATACTCCTGCATGTAATCATGTCTATTGATGACGATGTATCTAACGTATGATACATTTTAGCACTAATATAAATCACGGAATGGGAGATACCTCATTGTATGATAGATGAGCAGCACGTTCATATAAACCGGAACTCACTATATATCACAAGATGAGAGATATTGAACTATAAGATAACTTAAAAGCAAATGTTACTAACATAATATGTCTTGCGCCGCTTTTTCACACATATACCACAACTGGGCATTTTCAAAGGTATTCACATGCCAAACGACATCAACGATACCCCAGGCTAACGATGCCCACTTTGTTATTTCAGTATAGAATCAAAACATTACAAAACAACATCAACGATCCTCAAGACTATAAGAATGCCCACTGGGCATCTTTTCGAATTTCAGTATAGAAACGTTACTTTTTCGTTTTGTTGAACATAATTTGTGTCCACAACGATGTCAAATGACACATTTGTTAATCTTGCTGACAAGTTTTGTATAACACCTTCTTATCCTTATTTTGTATTTTTGTTTACTTAAGCAAGTCTAAAATGTCTTCGTAATACCACGTACACTTCTACGCACTTATTATCTTAAAAGCATGGGTATTCTACATTTTAACTGCAGCAAGGAACAGCATTTTGTCCGCAGGGTAAACCGAACCAATATAAATTGAATGTCAGCTTTCATTCATCATATTTTAGTTTAGTTATATTCATAGTAACGGAACTATTTCCTAACAATTAAGAACTACCTTCGTATACAACAACGCCGATTGGCTGCTATATTTATCTATTGTTTCTCTCACGTCATTTCGTACTCTTTGAATCCCATTATACGCGGTCAACTTCTGTAGACTTGCTCACGTACATGCCTGATACTTTGCAGAATCGAAATTGCAGAGACAATAACAATTGCAGAATTCATTTTACAGCGTATGTGTTCTTTCACAATCAAAAGAAATATGATGAAATGATTGAACGATTGATAAATGATAAATGATGTAAGTAGCCTAGTGATTTCCGCACAAATTCCGCTCGTCATTTGATACAACTCCCCACTTTCTCTTATTTCCTAATTATCGTGGACAAATAAACCTATATTATAAATAAACATACATAATCACACAAACATCGCTCAGCCTATGAGTTAATGGATATATATACTTACCAGGAACATCCAGAGTAAGGATAAAGTGACTGGATTATACTCTCGAGGGTTCCGAGTGTACCCATCCAGAGGTTAAGTCAGAGTGAAGTAGGGAGACGGCGGTGACTGGGATATGGATGGGTGGTCCGTGCTGCACGTGCACATACATACATTCCTTTACACTGTTATTACGCGCGATGTTTTGAATGTTGTATTTACCTGGCTACATGCTCCCCCACTTTGTTGAATGTCTCCTGGCATTTCTCATACAGTTATTTCCCAGAATATGTACATTCATAAAGGGTTATAATTAGAGAATATTGCTCTAGAAACAATACTGTTCTTTGTATTAATGGTTATATGATTGACTTTATAATATTTAAGACTCATAATACCAAACAACTTGAACAAAGCACATGAATAGATCAGAACCATCTTTGCAGAAGGAACTAATTAAACGATGCTCAAATAAACAGTTACCTACCCTTGACAAAAATACTTTTACAATGAAGGATATAGCTCTGATGACCATGTATAATATAATTATGATTATATAGACTCTGAATGAGATGAAAAAAAAAAAAAAAATGAAATCTATATTATCACATTTGCAAGTGATAACAAGAAATCATGAATATTAATGTAAAACGACAAACTTATGTAAAACTACATACATGTAAGTATGGGCGTTATTATCTGCGACAACCTCAAATGTATTACCATAGAGGTAATCATGAAGTTTCCCTGTAACCTCACATTTCAATGCAAGAAATTCCAACTTATGTGCAGGATAATTCCGTTCACTGGCTCTCAAATCTCGACTGGCATATGCAATAACCTTCTCCTTTCAAGCATGCACTTGGTATAAAACTGCACCCAAGCCTGAACCACTTGCATCAGTGTGTACACGGATGTCCTTAGAGAAGTCTGCATAGGAAAGAACAGGAGTTTGAATCAGTTTCTGTTTAACCAAATCTAAAGCTTCCTGTTGGGGTGTACCGCAAACCCTCTGGGCTTTTGCTTTAGGCTTTGACTTAGACTTAGGCTTTTGAGTCATGGCCCTATAATAATTGGTTAAGAGGCTGTACTTTTGTTGCGTTATCTTTTTAGGAAACGCCTGTAATAGCCACTGAAACCCAGAAACTGACGTAATTCCTTTACGTTCTTTGGCTCTGGCCAATCTTTAACTTTTTCGGGGTCTGTCGCTATACCCTACTGTGAAACTATATGTGCAAGATATGTTAATAAGGACTTAAACAATTCACACTTTGTTAGTAAATTATCGTGCCTTTACTATTGATGTTATCAAATTAATACGGTATTTTTTAAACTCAGTTCTCTAGGTGCGCGTTTTTATTAATCATCAACGTGTAGCGACCACCCGAACATCTTAATTGTTAACGCATGCACACGAAGCGATTTTAGAATTACTAGCAATATGTTGCACTTTATTTTTTGTCGCCCGGAACTAGAACTCCAATGAATGGCAGTTTCAACATATACACGTACATCTGTACAGATCCCGTTATAGGGTTCTAATTTTCTCTTCCAGACCCTTCAAGACATCAAAATGAAATATTCGTGTAAACGGTCAATCGTTATTACCTATCAATCAAATGCTTATTAGGGGAATCGATGACTGCATCACCAACATCTATCGCGTCTTCCAATTATCGCATAAAGAAAAGTTCTCTTATTTTGCATTGATATATTACGAATAAAACGGAAATTATATTTACGTTATCTATTACGTTTTGAATTTACAAGTAGCAAAACTTTCAATAGAAAATACGAAGCAGAAATTTCATTATCGGTTTGCGTATTCTTGCGCGAGTTGGCTACAACTGTATCCGAGAGTTGGCAAATGTAGCTTTGGGAAATAAAAGATCAAATATGCAAGAATAATACATTTGTTTTGGATTGTAATTTTATCTTCCCATTCAAATTTTGATATAGTATACCGCATTTTTATTTTGAATAGTTCACAACCTAATTGGGAGGAATATTATGCTTGCATGAAACTACATTCAGGGATTAACTTACTACGAAATCTCAAACTTTCCGACAAAGCTCTGTAACTGATTACATCGTGGTATTAGGCTCACAGTGTATGTTTATTATCAAATAACTGGTACTAATTCCGAGCCCTGATTTGATGAGCGACGTCATGTGACGAGTCTGTATATTTCTTACAGACCTTGTTCTATTAATAGAAAAATGTTACATTCCTCGACCTATGAATAACAAAGGTGTTACAGACCGCTACTAAAATAGGCTTAGTTAATTTTCAAGCCAGTCTGTAAATCTAGTACAAATCACCCTACTGAATGTAACTACAAATGAATCATCTCATCAAACTCTGAATTATGTGATGATTTTGATGATGTCGATTGTGCAAATAAAATTTATTTGAAATTGAATACCCCATGAATTGAATTGTGTAATGTTTAATGTGTATCTAATTTTGTATCCTTCAATCTGTGATTCAAAAATGGTTCATGTCTTCAGTTGATAATTGCATGAAAAATTATTATCTTTATTCTAATATGTCATAATATTGCAATTGTGGACTTCAGTTTTGAATATTATCACAATTTCCCAGGACACACTTCATATTTTTCTCTCATAATGTCATAGAAGGCTACATAATATTTCTCAAAATGCTGCGAAAGAGGGCTAACTATGTGCCCTTGCTGATTGGAAATAAAAATTAAGACCAAAATTAGAAAAAGTGCCAAGTGGAAATCTTTAGCCTGAGGAATCGTTGATGCCGTTTTGCATGCCGATACCTTAGAAGATGCCCTGTTGTGGTATAGGTGTGAAAAAGCTGCACAAGACATATAACAGTATCCACTGGCATGTTGAAAACGAAAAGATTGACGATTCTATACTGAAAGTCGAAAAGATGCCCAGTTAGCATCTTTAGCCTAGGGTATCGTTTATGCCGTTTTGCATGTCGATACCTTGGACATCTTTAGTCTGGACTATCGTTGTTGCCGTGTTTCTTGTACGTATCTTTAGAAATGACCAGTTGTGGTATAGGTGTGAAAAAGCGGTACAAGACCTATTATGTTACTATCATATGAATGTCAAACTAGCCCAATATTGGGCAAGCCCAATATTGAAAAGGTAATCAATTTCACGCTGGTCACTAATGAATGTGGTATAATTGAAAGTGTTAACCAATTTAATATGCACATATTCATCACCTATATATTTTCTAGGACTTAACAGGAGAAATCATGAAAGGTATCAATGTGTGTGTAGGAAACGCTTACTGTTCTGGAGCACCAGGGTCCATTATACCTCCCTTTGTACTTCGGTGTTTCTTCCACTTTCTGTTACTAGATTTTCAAATAGACTTGATGCTTGTGTGATGTGTATGATTTATTGTTTTCTATGTGTTCTGTTTCACTTTACAGGAGACGCAATGCTATACCATAGTGGCAAGAAGTTTTCCGCCAAGGATAAAGGGGCAAATGTTAATTGTGCAATATCTTCCAAAAGTGGATGGTGGTATGGCAAATGTCACCAGGCCAATTTGAATGGAAAGTACACGAAAAACTATTGGGCGTCTAATTCAGAAACTTTGACGACCTGGTGGTATTTCCCGGGACCCGGAAAAAAAATGTCACTTAGGAAGACTCGGATGATGATACGTCCGGCGCATGTCTAGAAATCCGATCACGTACACGTTGGGTGCAAGTGCAGGTTTGTGTGTATGCGTCTTGATGTCCCATTAGGGTCAATACAATTTCACACTTTGTACATTAATGTGTAAAGCTTTTGCACTGGAAAGACTTGATCGACTCCATGGATTCACTAAAATACTAAGTTTTATAGTCGAAGAGACATGAAATAGGCACCTGGTGATGATAGGCACTTTAGACAACTGCACGAAAGGCTGTAAATACCGAATGTTTTATTATTCGGTTCTACTTAGATCTGAGTGAAGATATTTATGCAGGCTTACATTTTCGCTATTTTGACCACAATTGGAAATTGAATATACACGAATTAAAATTTCGCGATATACACATTTGAAGATAGTACATTTTCTCAGTGCACGGAGACGGGACGCTCGGAAAATAACGTGTCAACTACTTAAACGAAAAGGCTTTGCGACAGAATATTAAGCAACAGCAAGTGATTACAGTCTGTAAAACACTTTCACGGTGTTTTTTTTTCAAACACCATTACTCTTTATGTATATAAATCATCACAACCACATGTATGTTATTTCAGGAAAATTTTCACCGTTTGTCATATTTTTCTGCGGATCGTATTTTCACAAACACGTTATTGACCGGCAAAATCGCGAATTATCCTATCATACGGTGTTTTTGATATATTTGATATTACGTCATAGTAATTACGATGATATTTATTTTCATAGTATATGTATTGTTAAGAAAATGTGACTATATTTGACTGCATACTATCACTTATGCAAGAACCGAGTGCTTGTTCTATCTGTGTGCATAGAACCGAAGTGAGGGATATTGAGCAAGGGAAAAGACAGGTGCTTTATCGCCGTTACCTGCATTTAATTGAGAAACTGAACAAAAATTAAAAAACACAACTCTCGATGAATGTCATGCTCGTTAGTACTTATATTCCCGATATTGTAATGTTGATGTAAAATGTGTCAAGTATTATCCAGATTAGCCTTGTACTGAGTTGGAGAAAATAATGTAACTTTAAGCCCATGTATGATGAGGTGAGACCTTTTGATGGTGTTGGCTAAGCTATATAAGCGCATATGCTGTCAATTTTTAGTTTTTGCTACATAAGCATATATGTAATTTTGACATTTGGTCTTTTACTGAGTACAACATTAGATATAGCGACAAGTACAAAGGACTTGAACTATATGGTTGATATGTAACCAATATAGGACTGAAGAGTTGATAATTTGACAAAAATTGCTTACCATATCCCTTATGGCACTGTATGCCATTACATTGTACTTTGTATAAAAGTAATTATATTGTANTTTTAGTCGGTCGTTAATTTTATTTTTTCTATATATATATATATATAGTCTTCGGTATTTTGTTTTATATATACATATATATCGGTATATGTTTAGTAGTTCATCTTTACTTTGAACAACGCATATACATTTTGTATAGCAGTGGTTAATGAAAATAACCTCATTAGCGTGTATTTTGGCTTCGTTTCTATTACTCCAGTTCTCGCCATAAGGACGTGACCTAACTTGGAATTGACCTAGTTTTACATGAAGCAGAAAACGATTACCTTCCATTGACATCTTATCGTATTCTCTTCCTTCTTACTCAGTGTGGATGTTTACTTTGATTCTATTTTTTCCTAGTTTCTTCGATTTGAAATGCCAGTTATTTTTGTTGACACTTTGATATTCTTTGTCTGATCCAGTAAGATAAAGCATAGGATGGACCTAGCAGGTGACATAATTTATGTAGTTGTCAACTGTGGATGATATACCTTGATGATGCCTCCTGATGAGACGTCACTTGAGTGATTTATTTCCAATCTCAACTAAATTTTGGTCTTCCTACACATTTCACCTGATAATACCAACTGTACACCACGTGAAGGTGTAAAAAAGCAATATTACTAAGAATCGATTTCAAATGGAAATTTGACACCTGAAAGACAATGTAATGCAATATTTGTATAAAATACTGTATATAATTGATAAAATGTTACAACCTGCTTTAATAACATTTACTTAAGATGTATTTTCTTAATTCACTTTTCTGTTGTGAAAAGGAAACCTTTAGTATTTTTAAGTACTTTTGAGCATTCCCATAACATTTTGCAATATCTTTATTCTTTGTGGCAATTTCAGTTGTTATCAGTTGATGAGTATAATTTGCTCTTTATTTTTTCATTTTGAATGTAAATTATTAAAAAAAAATATATGTTCTTTTAATCACAACTAAAAAGCGATTTGTTTCTTGGCTTTCCTTTCCTCTAATTATTTAGAGAAGAATGCTTGAAATAACAAAACGTTTATGCATTGTTTTGAAGAAATAAAACACGAATGTGTCATACAAAATGTTACTGATTATCTGGCTTCATTTGCATTGAATCGATCATAAATAGCATGCTTTTGATTGTTTGTGTTTTACGTCCTTTTAACAGCTGAGGTCGTTTAAGGACGGGCCAGGTTTTGTTGATTGAGAAAGACTAAGTATCCTGAGAAACACCTACGAAATGCGGCCAGTCAATGGCGACTGACCCACGTAGGCCTAGATCCTGCGACAGAGTGGCGGAAGGCTAGTGGTAACAGAATATCAGACGTTTTAACCACTCGGCCACCGCTGCCCCATACGACGTTCAATTTAAAAAGATCTATATTTATGAACCAGCAAATACACAATAATATAATGGTATTACATCAAAAGTGATCCACACCAAATGGCGAAAAGGGCGTTCTTTGGTACAATTTAGTGTTTTGGCTTAGCAAACAGGTCCTTAATGAATTACAAAGGTTATAAATCGCTGCAATTATTTTCTATGAAATATGGAACTCTTAATGTTTTTTGAAAAGAGTTTATCGAACTTCATTAATTGGCCAAAAGCTAGAATTCCTCTAATAGTATTTTTTAACGTGCCATAGTCAAGGTCAAAATGGGTTTTTTTTTAAGTTATAACGTTGTCAGCCGTGACGTCACATTTCATTGCTGATATTTGTTTCTAGTAGTCTGGCATCAAGACAAGGATTGGATTATTACGGGACATTATAACGAATTAGCTTCCTGTATATGGTTCACTTAGGCTTCAACGTCTACCTTGCAAAACGTTGTGAGAGATTATTTTTATTATTCTTTTACTTTACATAATTTCAGTTCTAAATGCTCAAATCCATAGTATCATGTTTACCTTCTTTAAGTTTTCGATACAACCCTGGTTGTCACAAGATTTGTTAACATGATAAAAACTTCATCTGCTATTAATATTAACGCGGATACCAATATAATCGTCAGAGCTGAACACGAGCTGACTCGTGCCTTTGTCACTTTGGCACGTTTTGTCTCGGTTCTTCACAATGATTTATTTATATGAAAGTCAATAAAATTATAACAGGTCGATCTAGTGTATAGTTAAGGTCAACTACAATGTAACCTAACGTGAAGCTAAAAAGAAAGGACAAATATCAATAACCTATTAGAAAGGACAAATATTAAAGTTTCCTTTAATACTTCTGAAACGCATTGCTGTTTATTGAAATGAAACAAAATATGCTTTTAGCCATAATTTCATTATTTTACCAGGAACATTTAAAAGGTAGACAGATGACATTTTCTACATTTGCTTGAAACTGTATTAATTTCTTATTTGAATAGTAAACATTCATTTGTATTTCAAAATAAGAATACTGTATCATACATTTGAAAACAAAACATTTTTCAGTTTTGGATACCCTAACATTAAGTTTTTTATGAGTTTTGTTGTTTGTTAGTTTTACTTGATGTGCTTTTTCGTTTCACATATTATATAGTTTGATCAACGGAACTAGTGTGTTTATATCTTTGCTTGCTTGTTGTTGGTTTTTAATTGCTTGCTTGTTTGTTTCACATACGGTAAAGTTATTTTCAACAAATCTAGTTTGTTTACGTATTTGCTTACTTGTTTATCAATTTATTTTGCTTGGCTGTTTGTTTCACATACTTTTTAGTCATGATCAACAAAACTATATTGTTTATAATTTAGCTTGGTTCTTTGTTAGTTTCCTTTGCTTGGTTGGTTTTTACTGTATATGTATAATCAACAAAACTAGTGTGTTTATATTTGTGTTTCCTTGTTTGTCAGTATCGTTTGCTTGCTTCTTTGTTTCACATACTGTATAGTTATGTTCAACAAAACTAGTTTTATTTATTTATCGGCTTGCTTGTTTGTATATATTTCCGTAACTGTTGAAGTTATAAGATGAGGATGTCCTAAGATGTAACTTTGACGACCCTTTCCTTAGACCAAGGTTCTAACACTTGCACGGGTTAACAGTCAATGAGAAAGGAAAGCAAAGCAAAGCAGTCACAATGATTCCATATCGCCTATAAATCAAATTTTGTTATCCTAGTACAAAACACCAGAAACATAAATCAAAACTGAAGCGTTACTAGTAAAACGAACTTAAAAGAATGACGATATGTGAGACACATAGAACAAGTTATGACAAACAAGGACACTCAATGAGAAAGGAACGGAAAGCAAAGCAGCCACAATGATTCCATTTTGCCTATAAATCAAATGTCATTACCCTAGTACAAAACACCAGAAACATAAATAAAAACTGAAGCGGTACTAGCAGAACAAACTTAAAAGAATGGCGATATGTGAGACACATAGAACAAGTAAGGTCATAACCAGATATATTGCGTGGTGGTTTGGTATTCGTAAAATGTTTTCGTCTGATATCGCGAATAAAACAAAACAAAGTGCTGAGAAATACACACATGTGTGTAGGTATGATCGTCGGGAATATACCATGTACAAGGTGAAACGTCTATCAACGCAGTATCAGTCGTAATACGTGTAATACATGTCTACAACAGATTGTAAAAAGAGTCATGACAATGTCGTTTGCTGGGCAACAGACACTTCCATACTCT